ATGGCAGGTAGAGTAGAGCTTTATTATTATTTTTGTCTCAGTCTATCTGAGTATATCATGGATTGCGATGGTTACAGTTTTGGAGAGCCGAGTTGCCTCATTTGTTGATTTTATACATGTTGATGATTTGTTATCACCTTTCTATTAACGGCATGTATGTATAGATATGAATGTATTGGGAATAAACCAAAATGCTATTATGAGATTTTGGAAAAGTGTGAAGGAAAATTAGGTATTTGAAAGTATGTTTTGAAAAAGGGAAAATTTGTTGTGAGTATGGAAAATGGGAGGAAAATAATGGGCTTAGTGGAATTGTTTTCTAAGTTGTTATTGTTTATGAAAGTTTGGGAACAAGAGATAATGAAAGGAAATATGAATCGCTTATAGCGTTGAATGAAATGGCTATTTTTTAAAAAAGTACATACTTATGTATACTTTGAATAAACTGCCACATTACTATTCTAGTATGAGATTAAGCATTCATGATCATAGCTATCTGTAAGTTGTTATTGTTGAGGATCATGTAGAAATCCCTACTGGACTATATATTCATCCCACTTTGTTGAATCTTTTTCAGGTGTTAAGCACGATGTGCTACAAGATTTGGATCTTCTTATTTGTTGGCCACGGGGCCTCTTTCGTGTTGGAATGCCATATATGTAAAAGGGTTACACCCTTCTTCTTGATTCTTTAAATAAATGATGTAAGCCTTCGGGCATTTTATTCAGTATGCTCTTGTTGTATTTAATTTGCATTCGGATGAGAGAATGATTATTTATTTCTACTCATTGGACTGAAGAGTTTATTTCTGCATGTTATCTCTGAAATTGAATTAAGTAATGAATTTGGTAATACTTCCGAGTAATAAAAATGGGGGGCGTGACAATATAGCTTTGTTTAAAAAAAAAAAAAAATTATCTTGATTTTAAATTTTGTGACTTTGAGTCACTCCAATTTCTCAAATCATTAATTTTAGAATCTTGAAATTAGTTGAGATGGGGACAAATTTATCTAGATACCTAGTTATGAAAAAATAAAATTTGTGGTGCACATTTGAAATTTTCAATTGTTGGTTTGAGATAATCTATAAAAGTCAAAAAATTAAAAAGTTAAAAAAAAAAGAAAAAAGTCCACACCATTTGGGCAGTGGCGGAATTAATAAATTAAATCAAAGGGGGCACTTATTAATTATAACATTGAAAACTTTTATGATTGACTTTAAGAAAGATAAAAAATAAAATAAAATAATGTTATTTGTAACTAGTGTATCATTGATAATATAAAAATGATAAATTGTAAATACACCCTCTAAGGTTTGCTTAAAATACATATTACCCCATGTGGTTTGAAAAATTACAAATACCCCCTTATTAGAATTTTTTATTTGACAGAATTAATAAAAAAAAATGAAATTCATAATTGCTCTCCTATACAATTATAAAATTACGTAAATTATTAATCAAAACATATTTTTAATATCATTAAAACTGTTAATTGACTTGATAATTTATTAATAAAATTGGTGATTTGTTATGAAATTAGAAATCTCAATAAATGTAATGTAATTTTCAAAACACAGAGAATGATTCGTATTTTAATCAAATTTCAAGGGGTGTATTTGTAATTTACCCTATAAAAAAAGTCATGGATATAAGTTTTAAAATAAATTATATAATGATAAAGTAATTTTTTATACAAAATACGAGTAAAAATTTAATATAATAGTAATATTACGTCATCATTGACATATGATATCACCAACCAATAGTAAAGAAACATATAGAAGATGAACTTTGCATGTCAAATGTAATTAACAATCTAATAAATTATACATATTTATTGAGATTAATTATGTTTGCATGTCAATTATAATAAATATCACTATTATATTGAAATTTTTATAGCTAGTCTCTTTATTTTCAATCAAAACAATCATTATTGTTTTCATAATTTAAAAAATGTCATTGATATTTCACTTTAAATAATATTTTTAAATTTTTTTATTTAAAATATTTTATTTATGTTTACAGAAAAAAAATCCAAAACTCGGGGGGCACGTGACCCCCCTAGACCCTCTTTACCTCTGTCCCTAATTTGGGAGAAGCTTGTGACGGAAGCCCAAAGGGCAAAATTATTGGCCTTGTTTGGTTTAACTCTTAAAACATAATTTTTGAAAAAAATTTCCAAAATTTTGTTTGATAGAAATTTTTTGAAATTTTTTTCCAAAATTACTTTCTTTCTCCTACACATCAATCAATCATTTTTTCTTTCTCCTCTCTCATTCTCAATCACTTTTTCTCTCACACACATCCACTCAATCATAACAAAATATCAAATCATTCTAAACTTTTATACTCCAAAACTATTTTCAAAATATACAACCAAACAAACCCAAAAAAAATTTAAATTCTTTCCCCAAAATTTTTTGAAAATTTATCTCCTAAAATCAAACCAAACACACCTATTATTTTGCCATTTGAATTCAATTACCCATATGTCAAAAATTCAACAAGGATAGAATGGTCATTTTGATTTTATTAAAATATTTTATTACATATCTTTTTGTAAAATTAAAAAATTATCCCAAACATACATATTTTTTTCTCTATTTTTTTAGTCAAAAACTCAAAAAGTACGCTTATATAACACATCTCAAACAACTATTTGTCAATTATTTATTTATTTATTGATGTCATATCTACTATACCATTGAAGTCGATCATGTTTAAATTTTATTAAAAAATATTGCTATAATTTTATTTTATGACAAATTATATTTACGGTTCCTATAGTTTGGATCTTATGTCACTTTAATTCTTAACCTTTCAATCGTGATATATTTAATCTTAAATTTTGAATCTCGTTCAAAATAAAGACAATTGAAGATAATGCTATTGCATTTCAAGGGCAAAATAATCATTTTAATAAAAATATAAGTTAGTTTGACAAAGATAAATGTTAAAAAATATTTTAAAATTTTTAAAAATTATTTTATCCACCAAAGATAAAATTATATAAAAACAATAAATTTTTTACATTTTTATTTTATCCACCAAATTTTAATATGTGTTTGGATAATGATAATGTAATGGGTAGTTGTTGTTTTTGTTATCATGTAATAAATGGACCATTTGCAAAAGAAATATCTTTGATTATCTTTATTTGAAACAATATTCAAAATTCAGAATCAATTATATTACAATTGAAAAAATTGGGAATCAAAATGATACAAGTCTAAAACTACATGAATTATTAGTGTAATTCGCCTTTTATTTTATTTTACTTTTATTGTTAAACACAAAATTGAATGAATTTCATATGTATTTATAATGTTAGTCAAATTATTTTGTAATTAAAAATATAAAAAAATAATTAAGAAATATAATTATATAATTATTGTATTTTATTATTAGGCCACATATGAATTACTAGTAGAGACAAATCTGTAAAAAAAATCACTTTTATAAATAGATTATAATCTCAGAGGCTATGTTTGATTATAAAGAAATAAATGATGAAAAGTGAAAATAGTAGAAAATGAAGCAAAAGAAAAGAAAAGAAAAATAAAATATATTTTATTGTATAGGATCAAAATTTTGTAAGAAAATAAATTTTTTAATTATAAGTAACTATTTTTACAACAAATTTAAACTTTATTGTATTTTTTTGCAATAAAGTAGAAGCTTAGTCACCATATTACCATGAGTAGTAAAAAAAATAATTTTCTTATAATTTTTATTCGTTTGGGAAAAAACTTTTTTAGGGTGACTTTTTAATTAATTTAGCTTCGTTTGAGAACATTTTTTTTTACTTTTTTCAACTTTTTTATTTTTTTTAAAAAGTAAAATGATTATAATTTGGATATGACATTTTATCTTATTAGCTATTTTGTTTATTTATTTTTTAGTCTCAACCTAAACCCAACTTACTTGCCAAACGATAACTTAAGATTAGTTTGGGAAGAACTTTTTTTAGCCTAACCTTTTGGCTTTTTAGTTAGTTTAGTTTGGTTAAATTATTTTTTGACTTTTTAACCTTTTTTAGAGAAAAAAAAATAATGGCATTTATACACAAATTCTAACTTATAAACTCATATTTCATTAAATTTTAATTAAGATTTTTTAGACCTTAAAGTCTCATAAAATTTTTAATAGTTAAACTTACCATTCAAACAATGATTGTTTATCATTTATGATTATCTATAAAAGAATATGATGATTTGACATTTATTTTGAATTTCAAAACTTTAAAACATCAATTTTCAAATTAAAAAAATATATATTATATGAATTTTTGAAAAAATTGAATTATTTTTTTGTGTAAAACTGCAAATTTTGTATTTATAAAGGAACAAGATGATGGAACATTAATGTGAAAAACTAAAAAAAAACTTTAAAGATAAAAAAATTGATAATGTTCTCAATTTTAAAACAGATAATATTTACGATTTTATTTGATAGTTAAATCAAACCAAGAAGTAGAATGGCAAAAACGTTGAATCTCATACTTTGTTTTTTTCATTAATTAGTGAAATAATTACCTGAAACATTACTATACAAAATTAATAATATTATTAGTTTTAAAAATTTTAAAAACTGATAATATTATCAATTTTATTAAATATAACTTATTAGTTCAAAAAAATCTTAAATAAAACCTGAACTACCATAACATCTATAAACAAGACTTTTCACTAATTAACTCTAAATAAATAATTATAATTTAAATTTAATATTTTATTTGACTTTTCACTGATTAACTCTAAATAAATAATTATAATTTAAATTTAATATTTTATTTTATTAACTCAATTAATTTATTTGATCATTTTTAAATTTTTTAATCCCAATCTAAACCCAATTCCCTTGCCATTCTCATCCTAATCAAAATGTGCCTTCCGCGAATTTCACTACGCAGCATCAGAAACCATGATAGAGTGCCACTACCTCATCATTTCCTTGTCATCATAACTGCCATTCGCTGCCCACTATCTGTCTGTTGAGGTTCTTCTTCACCGAGAGAGAGAGAGAGGGAGCGCACTATCCACACATACACGTCCTCACTTCACACTCTCCCACCATCACCGACAATGGATTCCTCCATCATCACTGAAGTTCCGACTCTACCATTTTCAAACCACCAAACCTTCATCATCAACTTCAACAGAACTAGAATTGCCACCACCGTCACCTCCACTCCCTCCGTCGTCCGCAAATGGCTCCGAACCACTCTCTGCCATCGCCGCCGCATCCTCCACCATCTCGTCGTCGGCCTCGGCGTTCAATGGCTCCCAGGCTACCGAACCAGTCCCGCAGCCACTCTCCAACTCTGCGTCGGACGCCGTTGCCTCATCTTCCAGCTCCTTCACTCCGACTCCGTCCCCAACCTCCTCCGCCGCTTCCTCCTAAACCCTAGAAACACTTTTGTTGGCTTGTGGAACCACTCCGACGCCGATAAGCTCTTGAACTCGAAGCATGCGCTCGGCATGTTTCGCGAGCCACTGGATCTGAGGCAACACGCATTTTCGAAGGTCACCGGTCGAAGCCTTGTACAAGCGTCTAGGGAGACTATAGTAGAGGAGTATCTTGGAATCAGAGGCGTGAGATTCGACGATCAGATTGGTAGGAGCGAATGGGACAACAAAGATCTCAGTTCTATGCAGGTCTTGCAAGCTTGCGTCGATTCATACATTTCGTTCCTTATCGGGAAAGATTTGAAGGCTTGGGAGATCTCTTAACCTCCGAGTGCCAGATTTTTGAATGCCATGCGATGAACTGTTCTGTTCTGTTCAGTAGGTAGATATAACTTCAATTTACAATAATATGTTTAATGCTACAAACAGTGCTTTTAAAGCCTTATGAATAAGAACAGGCACTTTTGAGATCTCTGTCAGTTTATGATATTGCGTACTAATGTATCAGAGCATTTGGTATTTGTTTGACATTGAAATATCTTTTGATTATTGAGTGAGCCTCTTTGAATGCAGATTAAATCTACATGAATATGTATGTATACATTTGCGTGTGTTTATGTTCATAGAATTCAGCAGAGATCCCTTCAGTTCAGTGAGTTCTTTGATGCAGATTTCATAGTTTTATTGTATGACGGAATTCTTTGAATGCAGATTTCATTGTTTTATTGTATGACGTAGTATTTGTTTCAGTTTTTTAGAACGGACTTATGACTTTTAATTTTGAAAAAATTATTTTGGATTGTTTGGTTAAATTTATTTCAAACAGTTTCTGATTTTAACAGGTTATTTTAACTTAAAAAAGCTGATTTTGAGAAGTTGCTCACTCCTTATCAACTTCTGCTGTGACATGTTAATTTATAATTATATTCTTAAATTTTTTTATTTTTTATTTTTTTAAAAATAGAAAAAAATTTAAATGAACTATAGATTATTATTATTATTTTTTATGAGAAAGGTAGACAAATAAAAAATAAAAATTAATTGAAAAAATTATTTCAGAATTTATTTAACAAATATTACTCAACAACTTAAATCTATATTCTAATAGTTACACTAAACAAATTAACAATTTCTGATTAAAATCATAATTTATAATCTGTGAATGTTTAATTTATAAGTTGTTTTAACAGTTACGCCAAACGAGGCCTATGTATATGGCTTGGTTCGGTGATTTTCGTTAAAAAATTAAAAAGTAATTAAAAAATAAATAAATAAATAAATAAACTAACTATTTATATTAAAAAATTAAAGATTTTATTTTATTTTTTATATATTTTTTTGAGAAAAATTAAAATATCATTCTGAATATATTAATTTTTTTACATCATATTTTAATAAAAAAAATTTAAAAATTACTTAAAAAAAGAAAAAAAAACCCAGTTACCAAATGAAGCCCTATGTATATGTGCGGCTGTGTTCATGTGTAGAGAATTCAACAGAGCTCGCTCAATTTTCGTGTAAAAGTTCTTTTAGAAATTTTGAATATATAGAATCATTGTTAAGATATAGCATTTTGAATATTAAAAAGAATTTTTTTGAATGTCACATTTAAATTATAATTATTTTTTTTATAAAAATATAAAAAATAAAAAATTTATTCTAAATGAGATTTTTTAGTCTCAAGTTAAGATAGTAAAAAAGTCAATTCACATTTTAAACGAATTCTTAAAGTATTTCTAATGGTGTATCAATTTTTTTTACTAAATTTGAGTAAAAGCTTGGGTTTTGGAGTTTCATCAAGTCACTGAGACGATCGGCTAACTGGGCGGACGATCTGTTAATATAATTTTTTTTTTTTATAGATTTTTTTCTTAAGATGGTCATTCGGGGACCGGGTGGATATTCAACAACACCAATAACAATGAACAGTGAATTGATAAAAGATATATTAATTTTTAATTTGATGAAAGAAAAATAAAATTCTTGATTTATTGCTTAATGAAACTGTTAGAATAAAAAAAAATTATTTTCCATCAAATTTAAATTTAATTAAAAATTTGAGTGACCATTAAAATGGACTTCTAGATTACTTATTGGTGCTAGTGATCTTGCTTTTCCATGAAACAATAATATAAAAGTTTTATTTTATTTTATTATACATGTTACACTCACATATTTTGCAAAATGGTTTGTCATTGTGGTTTTTTTTTTTTAAATAATTATCTAAAAATTCTATTTATAAATATTATGAAAATTTAGATTATATCTAAATTTTTTTAACTAGTAAGTCTTATTTAATAAAATTAAAAATATTATCAATTTTTTAAAATTTTTTAAAATTAAGAACATTATCAATTTTGTATAATAGTATTTTAGGTAATTATTTCACTAACTGACAAAAAAAAGTATGAGATTAAACGTTTTGTCCTTTCATTTATTAATTTGATTCAACTATTCAATAAAATTAAAAATATTATTAATTTTATTTTTTATTTTAAAATTGATAACATTATCAATTTTTTTTATTTTTACAGTTTTTTTATTTTTATTTTTTATTTTTTTTATAGTTTTGCGCATCAAAGTTTTATCATTATGATCTTTTATAAACACAAAATTTTTATTTTATACAAAAAAAATAGTTCAATTTTTAAAAAATAAAAAAAATTAGTTTTTTTTTTTTGTACACTGAATTTGTACATAATTTTTTTTTTAAAAAAAAAAAATCAATTTGAAAATTGATATTCTAAAGTTTTAAAAATCAAAATAAATGTCAAATTATCCTGTTCTTATATATAATCATAAATGATGAACAATCATCATTTAAAGGGTAATTCTGACTATTAAAAATATAATGGGACTTAAAGGTTTAAAATTTATGTGTAAATATCTCTTCTTCTTTTCTTTTTTTTTTTTATTTTGTTTCTGGTTGGATTTTATATATGAAATCCATAGTTCTTTGATAGCAACAGTTCAAACTAATATTTTTAGGACATTAAAGGGGTAAAATAAGAAATGGGTCGGATCCAAGCCTTGGGCCGGGTCCAATCTCCTAAACCCAAATTCAGATGGGTCTGATGAGCATGTGGGCAACCTAACTAAGCCTAACTCCATTACTAACAGTCCACCCAAATTCTCAAGTACTTGGGCCCAACTCGCAGTGGAAAGGCCAGTCTAGCTGCGATACTGGGCTAAGGCCGAGCTGCAAGACTCGTTCTACAGGTAAGGATGGCAATTTGACCCCGACCCGAAGGGGACCCGATCCCCCAACCTCGATTATAACGGGTTTTCCCCGAAAATTATCCACATAGGGCCGGGGATGGTATTAAAAATTGAATCCTCGACTATTTTTGGGCCAGGAACAGGGATAGCTACCCCAACCCCGGCCCCGGCCCGATTTATCCCTGCATAACTCCCGAATATTCTCCATTTATATATGTAACATGTTTGACTCTGCCTTTTACTCACATGCATCTCATTTCTCTCTCTCATAGTCCCAACCTCTCTCTCTTTCTCTCTCTGAGCAGCTGCTCTCACGGCGTGCCGTCGTCCCTCCATCGCCGATCTCCCTCCTCCCATCACCGCTGATCATCGGCCTCCTTCCCATCGCCGCTGTCTGCTATCATTCCTACCCATCGCCGCTGACCTCCTTCCCCCTTCCTATCGCCGTCATCCCTCCTCTCTATCATCGCTGTCCTTGACGCCGATAGTCCTCCTCCGTCGTCCATCGCCTCCATCATCGCAGTCACAGTCACCCATCTTCCTTAGATCTAGTTCAAAACCCCCAGATCTGGTTCGATTTCAACTATTTGTGGAAGTCCATTCGCACATATGAAGATCAACTACGAGAATGTGAAGAGCTTTGATTTGCTGTTTAAGATCAACTACAAAAATGGAGATCACTTGGTTTGCTTTGTATATGAATATTTGTTTGATTTTTTTTTAATTATTTTTTGATGAACATTTGTTTGATTTTTTTTTATTATTATTATTTTTTGTTAGTGATAATGATGATGTTGATGATGACGGAGTCACTGATGTTAGATGGATGTGTTTTAGCTTGTTTTACAAATTGCTTAATCTTTCCTTTGAATAAAAAAAAATCTAATATGCTATTTAATTCGGTGATTTTTCGGGGTCGGGGATACTCGATCCCCGTTAAGGGGCGGGGGTAGGGGTGGCGATGGGTTCCTTGCCGGGATTGGGGGCGGGGACGGGAAATTTGGCACTTTCGGGGATCGGGGACGGAGAGGGCAGTCCCCGACCCCACCCCGCCCCGTTGCCATTCCTATCTACAGGCTGAACTGATGGGTTGAACCCATCATCAGAACCAAAGTGGGCCGAGTTCATACACAAATATCTGAATGGGCCAGCTCATCCTAACAATAGCCTCGCGAAGGGCCGAGCCGAGGCACAATAGCACCGAGCTGAGGTAACCTCTTAAAGAAACGTGGAAGCTGTGAGTGTATGCATGTGCAAGTTGCCACCTCAGCTGGTCCCATACACTAGAATCACGGAAAACAGTTGAACCAAAGGAATGTGGTTTGTTATCAGCATGACTACAATGAGTATATGCACTCTTTGACAACTACCAGATGGTCCCCCACCTTGAGCAATGTTAAAAGGAAACTTGGCAGTACAAGTGCTCCATGAAACCATCTTGGAAACACAAGCAAGGAGTTGTATATAAACTACATTAACTTCACATTGAAGGTAACTGATAGAAATCTAAACCCTACTTACTGAAAACTCAACTCTCCGTACTTAGAAGGCACTACACTTCTTCTCTGATTACTGATTCCCACACCAGAGGGGTTATCTGGCCAACCCCGGCGGGGCAGCTCTTGTGATTTTTCCTACTGCGGGACCTCATTCCTTGGATAGTCCAGCTGAATGCGAAACTCCGATCCACTTTCATCTAGTGCGATATCCGATACGCACAGACATGTTTGATTAACTGGATTGCAGATTGTTATTGTAATTTTATTAATTGGATTTATATGCATTGTGTATATTCAGGGGTCTTTTGGGAAGTAAAAAAAAAGTCATCTTTTAGCTTTTTATCCATTTTTGGTCACATCATCTCTCACAATTTTTACCTACAAAAAGGTAAAATGGATTAAAAAATGGTAAAAAGTTTTACCAATTTCTTAAAGCACCACTCAATCCGACATAATTCATAAAATTTTAATATTGAAAAGGTTGGGTATCATAATTTTAAATAGGAAAAAAAATAAAATAAATTGAATACATAATAAATTGTTATTTCACTAATAATTCAATAATTATTTCTACATGAATTTATAAGGTTATTAATCATGTTAATCAAATAAGATTTTAGTGTGATTGCTAATCCCACTATTTTTTATGAAGTATATTTATCTTATTTTTAATAGATAAAATAATAATAAAATCTTATATTTTTGTTAATTATCTATAATGTCCTTTTAATTTTGTATAATTTTTTTTAAGAGAAACAATTTAATTATTGATGCAAAAGTTATATAAGTAATGTTATATACATTGTTCTTAAAAAATGTTATATAAATTAATAAATTTTATTTATTTATTGATGAAATACTTATTAAATTATTAAAGTGGTAGTCTCTCCACTTTTAAATTTTTTCTCATTTTTGTTTTAAACAAAAAAAAGAAAAGAAAAAAACAGAAATAAC